TATATCTATTCGTTTATCTCCAACTGTCTATCTATCTATCTATCTATCTAGACACAGTACATTAAAATGCTTTTATATGTACATTTTTAAATTCCTAGTTTTATTACATTTAATATATTTCAATGTAAAAATTATGGTCTGAGTGCAGATGCATCTTATAACTTTGGACGATTTCAATAACATGCATTTATTCCAGCACAATTACAGTGGTCACCATGGTAATACAGTGGCTAATTCAGAATGAACTAATTAAAGAAAGATGTTAAAATAAATCCTTATTATAATCTTGACTGAACTTGATAATACTATTAGTCTCAAGTCATCAAAACATAACCAAACACTGAAGGCTTCATTAGAGCCCAAAAGTGAATGTGTAAACGTGTTCACATTCAGAATAGCCAAGCAAGACCAGTGGACTGTTTACAAAACTCATTCTCCGGAGATTACATATTTTGTGCTTGCACAAAAATAATAAAAAGAATTGTTGTTGATGTCGACAGCTGCACTGGACAGACATGTATTGTCTGGCCAAGCTATTTTTATTGACTGAGGCAACACGCAAAAATAGTGCTGCTGCAATAATGCCTGCCAATGAAATGAGGCCTGCCAAACAGCACACATTACAGCCACACTTCCCTATCTGACGGACTGCTTTGTTTTCACTGCTCCGCCAGCTAATGAAAATGAACGAGACCCTCTTGTTGCGGTTTCACATGGCAGCCACATTAAGCGCATGCACATTTTTCCAACTCTCCTTCCAAGGCCATTTTGTTGCTCATCCATGATGTCTGAACTGTGATGAGCGTCCTTTAAGTGATGGATGACCAGCGAGGCACCAACACACACGGCGGCCTGCTTACACGCTCAGATTGAACGCTTGTCTTTCCCTCCTATTTTGGATCCCTCCCCAAACCGTTAGCCAGAGCTTGTTGTATTGTTCCCATCTGTCTGCTACTCACATCACCGCTGAAGAGACGGAGATGTCATATTTGTCCTGTGGGTGCCATCAGCATGTCTATTGTCTCCGTATTAATGAAAACCAGGTGATGTGACTCAGGCAGCTCTTCACTCTGATTGGTCAAGCCTGAAGCACAGAGATATTGCACTGCATTGCAGGAGCCCAAAAACAGAGTAAATGGCCTGCACAGCTAGTCAGTTTCTCGAAAGAGTTTTCCTTGTTTCACAAAAAAGAAACGCGTTCTCATCACCAATGAGTTGCATATTTTTGCATTAAGATGAGCGATTTAGCTGGGAAATGTTTTTAGCCTGAGCAAATGAAGCACTGGGACTCTCCAAGGGAGCCTGGGAGACAAAGCAGGGTTTGTAAATGAGGTTTATTGACGTCATCTATAAATAAACCTAGTAGGAGGGGGAATACAGCAACATTAGATGTGTGGATTTCTGCTAATGAAGCTGCTCGACAGCTCTAATTAGCATCAGCCTTTATGTGCTTTGTTTATAACGATTAGAAATTCAACATTGAAGTCATTTGTTTTCTGCTTCTTCGGCTGAACAGGTTATTATTCTCCCATTGTCTCCGCTGGTAAGGCAAGATAATAGGATTGATAATTTGGCTATTTGCATCACCAAACAACACTGCCGGCAGCCAATGAGCAAGGATTCTCTGCGACGTTTAGTAAAATTGAAATCGGTCACTTCATTTCAACATGGCAAAATCAAGCGACCTTTAAACTTTAAAGGTCATTTTCTCAATATTTAGATTTTTTTTCACCCTCAACAATACATCAATGGAAAGCTTATTTATTCAGCTTTCAGATGATGTATATCTCAATTCCAAAAAGTTGACCCTTATAACTGGTTTTGTGGTCCAGGGTCAGAAATATTGTCAGAAGCCTAATGAGACATTGAAGTCATGCAACCATAGTGTAGTTCATGTATAGCCTGCATTAAGCTTTTTTTACTTCTGGTGTTTATATATATTTTTTCAAATAATCTGTAAATCAATGGAAAAATCCTATTGGGTTTTGCTGAGGGAACCAGGGTTGGACCCAAAAAAAATGTCATCACTGCAGTACTCAATTTCAATTCAGTAGCAGCAAGCTACCAAATGCACCTTTAAAAGCTCTTAGAGGCATTACTATTAAAAATGTTTGGGTCTCAGCAGCATGATAACACGCTTAAATACGAGCCAACATAATAAGGTCACGGTATGCTAAAAACTGGCTTTAATTGTTTTATCGTATACATCAATTCTGGGAAAGTTATAGTGTGTATGAATTTTTTTTCCCAAATGATTTAACTGCAATGATTTCCTTGAATCAAGTAACTGGAAAAAGAATACAGCTGAAATTACATCCTTTGCAGATGAATAAAAAAAATAACAGGAACATAACCGAAGCATCAAAGAGCCTTTAAAGAATGTGCCTGGCAACTGGTTAGCTGTCATAAAATGTATATGAAACATCACATGAAGTCTTGTTCAAGCAGACTGATAATGCCAGGAAATAACACTTTTGACATCATATAACCCTTCATCGTAATGCTGCGACGATATATTTTTTCAAAAATGTTGATGAGTGTGAAAGTTGGCATATGTAGACTATAGGCCTTCACATATTTGAAATGTACAAGCTGTTAATATGAGTTTTATGAGGGATTTCGTTTTCGCTTACATCATCGGCTCCTCTGGACAGTGCATTACACACAGCTGTAATGAGGCCCTCTGTGGATTAGTTTGGCGTTTTCTACATTTTTACACTGTTTAATGGAAATCCACCGACAGACAGAAACCTGCGGAGAACAGGCTTGCTCAGGAACTCCATGCTGGTTTCACGGTAAGAAAAAGAGGCCGAAAATAGATGCAGTCACAAGGGGGTCAGAGCAACACATCTCACGACCTGACCGCAATGCAACCTCAGCCAGAATCAGGGCTTTTACCCCTGTTATACATGTCGTCTGGAGAAAGACAGATTTAGTGTCACAGTGTGGGACAGCATTCCCAGTTGTCTGGCACACCAGCTTTTGATCAATTTTAACAGGCCCTAAGAAGGGTCAGACAAAAAGGCGCAGGCTGTGGCAGTAAATAAAGCCAGCTACAGAAGCGAGGCCAGAGCAGGGCAGCACTCAAAGTGGCAAGTATTTCATAAGCGTGCCAAACAACTCACTGGGTTTTATTTGTAGACTCAAGCTTTCACCTACAGAGATCTCATGGCTGCAATAATCACACGGAGCATTTGGAAATTGAACTGGGTCGATCCAGTCTTTCCATGACATACGACTCGCATTCATACTGCAACGGTCTGGCTTCATTTTCATGTTAGTCCATCTGGAACAATGAACGATCCAAGATAATGTCCTGTTTTGAAGCAGAAAATCAGTGACTGGGTCTCGTAAGAAGCAAGTGGAAAACTTCAACACATTATATATAGACTACCTTTGTGAAGAAAGTACAGTGTAGCACAGTTTTTTTTTATTATTCTGAAAATAATATAATTTAAATGAATATACTTTAGTGTGAAATGAATGTAATTTTTTCAGACACTTAATTGCATGTTATCTGCAAATAAACGACAATGTATTATAGATTAAATTTATATTAAATGAAATTCAGAGTCCAGAGTCCTTTTTATCTTTATGTGTAATTTCAAAAAAGTGTATTGCCGAATATACTGGTAAACATTTCTGGTAAACTAAAATATACCTAAATGTAATTTCTATTGAAACTTGTATTTCATGTACTTATAATTACCCATTTGTAATGATGAAGTTACAATTTAGCATGTTTAAAATATTCTAACTTTAAACATAATACTGGATAACACACTACAGTTGAAATTCTAATCAAGTATTATAATGTTCTATAGTATATAGGCAACACTTCAAAATAAGAGTACTTCTTTAAAGCATGACAAAAAAGAAATATTGAATTTACAGTGTAATTACACAAATAAGAGCTGAATAATATTACTTAACATGTAATTTATAGGTTTAGTGTTAGGTGTTTGTAATTATGCATAATTTACTGTTATTACTACACTGTAAAAATGATCAATAAATCATTGCAATGTTTTTCCATTACTTCAAAATAATGTAACCAATTTCAAGATTAAACTTGATTGTCGGTTTAATATAATTTAAATTAACTGAAAAAAATGTAGTTGAAATGACGTACAGCCAATTTGATTTTTAAAAAGTTTTTAAGTTCAAGTAGGTTTTTTGGTAACACTTTATTTTAAGGTGTCCTTGTTACACGTCACATGTACTTACTATTATAATAACAATAAATTATGCATAATTACATGCAGGTAACACTAAGTCAAACCCTAACCATATAGTAAGTACATCTAGTTAAATAATATTAAACAGTACTTAAATGTATAACTACACTGAAACAAGGACACCTTAAAATAAAGTGTAACCATTTTTTTTTACAGTAAAATACATGTAATTTGTAACAAGGACACATTAGAGCAAAGCTGTGAAGATATTGTTGCATGAAAGTTAATTCAAAATTCATAACCATATCTATAGTCATCTATGATGACTGGACGTTGCTCACATCTAAAATAATGAGGTCATATGACAATAAAGCATACCACTGTTTGAAATGTTTATGGTGGATTAATGCCTTCACATTACTAGCTGTTTTTAAATTAGAGTAGGCAGTAGGGACAAGCTAATACTCTATTCTGAATGTAGCTCGAAATTGCTCTCAAGAAAATGAAATATAAAATGCATCCTAGAAGCAATTTCTTTCACTGTTGCTTGCCTTTTATTCCTTTTGCAGTAATGTGCAACTGGTTTGTGCAGCTTGTGTTGCAGTATCCTGTCCTTGGCATTAATCTCAGTCTGACAAACGGCAAATCAGCAGTCCAAGTCATGGCGTACAGAACGTCCCTCTGTCCAATCCCAGCCACTCCATTCCTGTGTGTATCCATCAGATGTGCAGACCAGACAGGCATCTGTACCACAGGCATCAGCCAGAGTACAGCGGGAGGAACATGGTACCATACAAACAAACACAAAAATACAATGAGTCATTCCAGATTTGTAAAACAGTTTATTCAGCATGCTAAAATAACTTAACACCTACATAGTCTGGTCCCTGCTGGTTAGAGGAAATACTTTAGGCTTTTTAGACCACTGGAAAAGATACATCCACCATTATGTATCCACCATTTCAGCAGACGTTAAACATTACACAAGTCACCTCAATAAATAATAAAGATTACTGCAAGATATTTCACATGGACAGCGTGAAGATCCTTTAACGTGAGGGATCAACCTTTGCCGACTTGCATTAAAGTGGTGGTGGGGAACAGTGACAGATAGAACAGAATGCAGTATGCTGCGAGTCAGCTGATTTATGGCAGAAAAACATGGAGGAGAACAATGACTTGTGGAGGCTCATGGGTGAGTTGGTGGCTCTGAAGTAGATGTAACTCTCCGTTGGGGTAGCGCGGGCAGCTGGGTCAGCGCCGAGGGCCAGAGTCAAGAAGATCTTTTGCTTCATTGATCTTTGCTGCCAAATACGGGGATCCACCTGCAGGAGAAGCAGCAGTTTATATCAGTATGTCCATGATTTTTTGTCTCCTTTCTCCTCTTTACTCTTTGAAACTGTAAAAGGTGCATTTCTAAACGAATATTATCCTTATTATTTATTCATCTAAATGTAAACACTTTCTTCACAGCACATACAGAGATTTTAAAAGTGAACAAGAAATTAAAATTTTATTTTATCCTATGGAGCACAAGACCAGTCATAAAGGTCAATTTTTTGGAAATTGAGATTTATACATCATCTAAAGTCTGAATAAATAAGCTTTCCATTGATGTATGGTTTGTTAGGATATATGACAATATTTGGCCGAGATACAACTATTTGAAAATCTGGAATCTGAGGGTGCAAAAAAATCTAAATATTGAGAAAATTGCCTTTAAAGTTGTCCAAATGAAGTTCTTAGCAATGCATATTACTAATCAAAAATTAAGTTTTGATATATTTACGGTAGGAAATTTACAAAATATCTTCATGGAACATGATCTTTACTTAATAGCCTAATGATTTTTGGCATAAAAGAAAAATCTATAATTTTGACCCATACAATGTATTTTTGGCTATTGCTACAAATATACCCGTGCTTTTATTGTGCACAGTACATTAGTGCACATCATTCCAAATAGTAATATAAAAGTCTCAATGTTCTGGTACGCTACTATTTAAACATTTGCGGTTGGTAAGCTTTTTTTTTTTTTTTAATGTTTTTGAAATAAGTATCCTATGCTCACCAAGGCTGTATTTATTTGCTTAATATTACTTTCTAAATGTCTTTTATTGTGCACAGTACATTAGTGCACATCATTCCAAATAGTAATATAAAAGTCTCAATGTTCTGGTACGCTACTATTTAAACATTTGCGGTTGGTAAGCTTTTTTTTTTTTTTTTTTTTGTTTTTGAAATAAGTATCCTATGCTCACCAAGGCTGTATTTATTTGCTTAAAAATACAGTAAATATTGTGATATATTATTACAATCTTAAAAATCTATTTTCTATTTGAATATATTTTAAGATGTCATTTATTCCTGTGATACAAAGCTGAATTTTTAGCATCATTACTCCAGTCTTCAGAGTCATGTGATCCTTAAGAAATCATTCTAACATGCTGATTTGCTGCTCAAAAAATAATTTCTAATTATTATCAATGTTGAAAACGTTTTTTAAGCTTAATATTTTAGTGGAAGATGTGATGCATTTTTTTCAGGATCTTTGATGAATAGAAAGTTCAACAGCATTTATTTAAAACTGAAATCTTTTGTAACATTATAAATGTCTTTACTGCAAATTTGATCAATTGAATGCATCCTTGATGAATAAAAAAATCACTAATTTCTTTTTTTTTTTTAAATACTGACACCATAACATTTGTATGTTATTGTTGCAACAGTAGTATGTTACACCCATTGTCGCAATCCAATCAATTCCGGATGGATAAAATCAAGTCCCACCCTACATTTTCATCCTCATTTAATATCCCAATTCACGCAGAAATGTCATTAAAGAAATCAAATGGGTCACAAACTGTTTCACACTGACTTTAAAGTCACTTTGAAATTAAATGGAGCAACTTAATTCATCTCCTTCCCCGAGTCCACAGGCTCAATTCTATCTTGATTTGTGCTGCCCGCACTACAGCTCTACATCCACAAGCTTTGTAGCAAAGAAATCTCTTTGCCTCCTATCACTGACTTCCAGCCCACGTCCATGCCGTATAATAGGAGCGTGTGGCTGAGAGGGGGTAAAAATGTGCTATAGCTGGCAGCGTGTGATGAGGCACACCTGGTGCCTGCTGCGCCTCATCATGCTGCTATAAATTTCCATTGCATCTTTGGTTCAGTGAAACATGTTCCACGAGTGCAAGCGTACGTGAGGTGCCCTGGAGGTCCAGAACAGTCACAAAGCTAGAGCAGACTTTACCTGATGACAGCTAGGCCCTTGCATCTGTACCTATTCTCCTCACTGCGCAACGAGCCCTTCGGCACATTTATTTACCTCTCACTTGCTTTGTAACATTTAGTGAAATAAAAATGGCAACCACTGTTCTTTACTGCCTACAACCTCTTCTATTTATTATGTATTGATTGCTGATGCAGCCACACAGTGCAGTACATAAGTTATATAGAGCGTTTATATTTTTTATTTTTTTTTAAGTAAACACATTTCCAATGCAGCAATTTGCATGAAATTTTGACCAGACATTGCCATTAACTCAAGAAGTATACACAGATAAAAAAAAAAGTAAAGTGCCCCATTATGGATTTTTGAAAATTAACTTTCATGCAGTGTGTAACACAGCACTAAGTGAATGAAAACATCCTGCAAAGTTTTAAATCTGAAAGTGCACCGTGTATAAAGTTATTGTCTCTCAAAAGAAAGAGTCGACTCAGAATCATTGAAACGAGTCATTTACGAATCCCAAGCCATTTCATGGTGACGTCAACATGAAACATTAGCATATTGCCCGCCCACTTGTTGGTCTTTTCGCGTTGGTCTGAATGAAAGTGCAAATTCATTCTTAGCGACTGCCGCTATTTAAAAATAGCAGTTTCCCCGGTAACGCTGCACACAAAGCAGCACTGCGCTCACAAACGCTGCTTTATCAGGCATTACAGGCAAGATGAAATGAAAATGAGACCAATCGGACCAATCACCGCAGATTAGCGCTACGCAAAGGAGGAGTTTGGAAAAATTAATCGTTGAGCGAATCGTTTGGGAGTTGTTGATCAAGTACGGTAAAAATAAATGCATATTATAAGACAATGAAAGTGTTTTTGACCTTGCATGCATGTCAGCCTGTTGTTGGGACTCCCAAAACCAAAATATGAACCTTTCATAACCCATAATAGGGGCACTTTAAAATGAATCTGTTGCCATCCACCAGGATGATGAGGATGAGACATACTGTAGATGGACCTTCCAGTAGGACAACAATCAAAAACATACTTTAAAGAAGTCTGAATTGGTTCCACAAGAATAAAATAACGTTGTTGGAATGGCCCAGGCAATCACCAGACTCAGCATTTGTGGAGGAAACTGAAAATGAAGATTCACAAGAGGACCCCCCAGAACATTCAAGATTTAAAGTATGTTCATATACAGTAGGAAGTGTCTTGAAGATGTAATTAGCCGGGTTTCCATCCTAAGTCACGAATTTAACTGTTGAGCAAAATTGGAAATATCATAAAACATTTGCGAATAAGCACCGTCTCCATCCAACGATTCAGAGAACAAAATCGTCACTTCCTGATAAACTGGCACTAAATATCACTAAGTAGGAGAAGCCACTGAATATAATTTTTAAATATTATAAATGACTTGCGCCTCAGAGCGAGCAGATGAAACAATAAATGCTGTCATTGTTTTCGGAAGCGAATGCCAGCTGTTTGAGAATGCAGTCGTGGTAGACCATTCTGGGAGGAAATACAGAAATACTTTGACGACAGACTTTGCTCGGGAATTTCATAATGACCATAACAACATTTCAGATGATGTGCAACAAAATCGGTCCGCTGGTTAGTTAGATTATGCCATTCCATAGCGCACTGTCACGTGACTTTTATGAACGTTCATGCGGAATTTATTCGCAAAATGCATTTTCATCTCCCATTATTTGTATTAACCCTTTTTTGCACAAGTCAAAAACCACCTCAAGCGAGCATAAAAAACTTTCTTTTCAAAATGTGCATTTCCATCAGTCGTTTCTGATGCAATACTTCAAAATGCGCATAAAAAGAGAGTGATGGAAGCATTCCAAATAAAAGCTTTTCCTCCAAGTATTAAATACAGTTTCAGTTAGCCAGTTTTTTTTCCTGTGGCATTTTACTTTAATAAACAATGTTTTTATGGATTGTAATATTATTTCTTTATTTGTGTCAATTTCTTGAGTTAATGCCATTGTCTGGTCAAAATTTTTATGTGAATTGCTGCATTGTAACTGTGTTTAATTTAAAAAATGTTGACGTGTTGGATACTTATTTCTCCCAGTTTATATATATGTGTGTATGCACGCACGCACGCACGCACGCACGCACGCACGCACGCACACACGCACGCACACACGCACACCCGCACACACGCACACACACACGCACACACACACGCACACACGCACACACGCTTAAATACAGTTTCAGTTAGCCAGTTTTTTTTCCTGTGGCATTTTACTTTAATAAACAATGTTTTTATGGATTGTAATATTATTTCTTTATTTGTGTCAATTTCTTGAGTTAATGCCATTGTCTGGTCAAAATTTTTATGTGAATTGCTGCATTGTAACTGTGTTTATGTGTTTAATTGTTGACGTGTTGGATACTTATTTCTCCCAGTTTATATATATGTGTGTGTGTATGTATGTATGTATGTATGTATGTATGTATGTTGCATACATACATACATACATACATACATACATACATATATATATCTCAATGGTCAGCCATGAACCAGATAGTTAATGCTGAATGACTGACAGCCAAATAATAATGATCAGCTTGTTACTGGGTGACAGACACGGGCATGTCTAAACATGACAGACTGTTGTTCTTAATTCAGAAAATATCAACAATCCCTGATATATTGGTTTAACCATTTGTAAAGCTCTCTTGTGAAGATGTAAAGGAAAAAAGGTGAGAAGAGACAGAAATAAAGGAAAAAATGACGACTGCTGTATTTCCCAGGAGACCATCAGCCAGAGAAAGGTCAGTGTCATCACAGTGCTGTTCCCTGAATCTCATTAAAACATGCCCAGATCACATGGAGCCCAGTAAATACAAAATAAACAAGAAATAGCTAAATTACATAAAAAAACGCTGATACAAAGTCACTTTCGAACCAAGCAGCTTTGTAAAAGACTCTAACCTGTTGGGAAATCTGCATGGGGAAATCTTCTGTCCTCATGCGAAATTCCCAATTGACAGGATTTCTACTGAAATGACTGGATTTCGTCCATGAAAATTTGCCAAACAATGGTAAATGTGACTGCACCTTAAGCCTACTGATCATATAAAAAAAGGCTGAGTTTTTCAGTATGTTCTATCCCAATCTGTTTCAATAGGAAATACGTTCATCAAGCCATTTCATGGGGTCTTTCATACATCAGCCCCTCCACTAGTGTAACAAACGGGATGGGTGCTTGCACACCATTATTAACGGCGCTGTAATAAAGGATTTCTCAGCAGAGCTGGAGGATGGGACAAATCTGGCACACTTTCTCTGCAGGACGTCCTTCCTGCAGTCACAGGCTTTATCGCTCCACTACAGATAGAATCACAGAGACCATCGCTTATTTCACTGAGAGTATTAGTGGTCGAGAGGAGCAAACAAGGCCTGACACACACACACATATCTATAAACAGCACCTCTGAGCGCTGTGAGAAATGCACCTGAAAGAGCGTAAACCAGAGAAAGGCAAGGTGAGGCCATTGACCTTGAACAGAAAAACAGGGCGAGTACAGTGACCAAGAAAAGATAAAGACGCCGGCTCTTAAATAAAGAAACCGTGCACTTAAAAAGAACATGGTAAAAAAAAGCAAGTCGCTAGACAGTGATTTATAACCTGTGTCGTACAGATCAGAGTGAACAAATCCTTATCAGATCTAAATACATTTGTACGTGGTGCATTATCTCTACTGTGTGATATAGAATATTCAGCATCTGTTTACAATGATTTTGACTGTGATTTAAGCAACCATTAAAAAAACAACCATTTTTTTTAATGAAGAAATCTCTTATGCTATTTATTTGATCAAAACAGTAAAACAGTAATATTTGAAATATTATTAGAGTTCAAAATAAATGTTTGTATTTGAATATAATTTCAAATTTAATTTATTCCTCTGATGCAAAGCTGTATTCTCAGCATCATTACTCCAGTCTTCAGTGTCACATGATCCTTCAGAATCATTCTAATATGCTGATTTGCTGCTCAAGAAATATTTTATTAAAAATATGTGCTGCCTAATATGGTTGTTGATACTATAAAAAAAATGTGTATTATTTGATGAATATAAAGTTCAAAATAACAGCATTTATTTGAAATACATTTTATACTTAAATGTAAAAAGTGATGTAAAAGTTTTAAGCGTAGAAGTGCATACTGTCACTTCTAATCAATTTAATGCACCTTCCCTGATTAAAGTACTAATTTAAAAAAAAGACCCCCCAAAATTTCAAAAGTAGTATATAAATATTGCACTGATCATTTGTCGTTTTCCTCATTTTAAGTCACTTTGGATTAAAGCAACTGCTAAATGATAATAATAATAAACAATAATAATAATATTTTTAAATTTGTCTAAAGAGTGTCGTTAGTTTTACTTTCCTTTCTCATTTCATGACATGCATTAAGATGTATTAATAGTGTCTCCGATTTAAACTCCATCTGCAAAAATTAAATTAGAGTTGGTAAAACTGATTTATTACTATGAATAATTTAAAACTATTAGCTGAATACATTTAAAACGGATGCAAAGTGATTAAAATTAAATGATTAATTCATTCTGCATGGCATTTTTAAATCTGTAGGTAAATGTTGCTGTTTATTTCTCTGTTTTGTTATTATTGGTGAATATGCAAATAATTCAATGTCCTTCTTCCTTCAATGAAAGACGCCTTGTTATCTGCAGCATATTTCAATTGTATTTAAATTCTTACATTCAACATTTGAATCTAGAGTACTGGCTGAAGTGATGGTTCACTTGATTATGTCCTGCTTTGTGTGGTTCTCATTTATGGTTACATTACAGCAAGTCAGCATTTCAGGGATGTGAGCGCTCTTTAAAGAGTGTGTTATGACAAATGACAAATGCTGTTCAAATCAATAATGTAACCAACACCTGTCTCTGCCGCTGTCTGCTCAGACAATACACTGAGCTACGGCTGCATGTGGAGAGCTGAGTCAGAGAACTATTGATCAACACACAGCCTTCCCAACATGACAGCCTGAACTACTGACCTTTATCTGGATGATTTAGGACCATGATGCTTCTGTGGGCTTCCCGTACCTTTGCCCTGCTGCTGGTCGGACTGCGTAAAACAAGAAGACAGAACATTTAGAAAAGGAGCACACCACTATCTAGTGGCCGCAGTGTGAACTGCCATATGAATGTAATTACAGTCATCAACAGTAGAATTACTAATTCTAGTCATCAACATGTAAGTCTCTAACACTGCACACATAAACCAGAAATACTCCATCTGTACATCCCCTGAAAATCCCCAATTTAGTGGGCAAAACAGGCAACAGAACTAGAGAGAGAAAAAAAAAGAAGTTTTTTTGGAACATTTTTAATTCATCCGACAAATGGATAAAAGCATTTGACAAATCGACAAAAAAGGAACTGATCATTTTTGAAATGCAATGAAAATTGTGCATCTCAAAATGATTTATTAGTTTACTATTTGATCGTTTTATTTAACTACATATTAAAACATTGATTAAACAATTGAAATAAATTGTTTTAATTGAAAAATGATTTAACTTATTTTATCTTAAACCGTTTTAAACGTCATTATTTAATAAAAAAAATTACTCATTTAAAATTTTGAATTAAATGAACGTTTTAAATGTCTGTACATTTATCAATGTAAAAAGTGATTTCAATTTTTGTTTGAATAATAAAATTGATGACTTATTTCTTCATTTTATTTTTAAATGTCTCTTCCTATAGTCTTCCATATATGTCAACATTGACAGATATGTATTATAAATACTGATATTTTCAATGAATTAATAAACTGAGATTGTTTTAAAAGAGTTTGTTTTTCTGGTGTTGCTTTATACTAATATTTTCTACTCATCTTGCGTATATTAAGTATTCCCAAACGTCTTAACGATTTGTTTCACACATACAAGAATAATTACTTAATACAATATAATACAATATAATATACAGTGGGGAAAAAAAGTATTTAGTCAGCCACCAATTGTGCAAGTTCTCCCACTTAAAAAGATGAGAGAGGCCTGTAATTTTCATATAATATAATGTGTTTCTTTTAAGGATACAATTTCAAATTCCTGTATTAAATTTTTTTTTCTATATAAAGCAGAGTTATGGTCGGAGGACAGGTGGTTTTAGGCCACTTGGCTCCACACTGTCTCCTTACCGAAAAGATAAATACATTTCTTTCCAGCCTCCATCTGTCAGGGTTTAGATCTGAGTCATAGCAAAATAGCCAGACGTGATGATTAAGAGATACATTAATGCTTACACACAAGCATTCAATCCTACAAACCCTCCTCTAAAGACTCAAATCATATGCAGGAGTGGGCATCTGAGAGGGGCCAGAGAAACTAATTAAAACACTGTGCGGCGCGGATGATTCCAGAATGTGATGACGAATCCGTCAGGCTAAACTGCATTTGTCGGAAGAGTCAGCATCTTCAGCAGATATGTGTGGCATTCGGGAGAATAAAATGTGTGCTCAAATGCGTTTAAAGTCAGCAATGTATATAAGGATGATCACAGAAAACACAAACACAAAATTAAATAAGTGTAAGAAGAGGCTGATTTGATAAAAAAAAAAAAATGCAGCAAAACAGTGAAATATTATTAAACTTTAAAATAACTGTTTTCTATTTGAATATATTTTAAAATGTAATTTATTCCCGTGAATCAAAGCAGAATTTTCAGCATCATTACTCCAGTCTTCAGTGTCACATGATCCTTCAGAAATCATTCTAATATGCTGATTTGCTGCTCAAGAAACATTTATTATTATTAGTGTTGTGCTACTTAATATTTTTGATGAAAATATTTTGATGAAGGTCCTTTGATGAACAGAAAATAATAAATAAATAATTTACTTGAAATTAGTGCTGTCAAACGATTAATCGCATCCAAAATAAAAGTTTTTGTTTACATAATATGTGTTTGTACTGTGTATATTTATTATGTGTATATAAATACACACACATACATGCATATATTTAAGAAAAATATGTTATATTTATATATTAAATATAATAATAATATAATAAATAATTATTTTTATAAATTATATATAATTATATAATATAAATAATGATATAATTATTTATATAAATAACAAATTATATGAATATAAATATAAACATTTAAATACATGTAAATATTTTCAAAATATATACTGGATGTGTGTGTCTTTATATATACAAAATAAATATACACAGGGGGGGGGTTAAATTCCAGAATAAAACGCGGTAGCGGTCGGTAACTCTGGTGTAATTGAACGGGAGCGGGCGGTCTAACAATATCCCGTTCCCAACATCCATTCAGACCAGCATATCTGTGCTTTATTCTTATTGACCTATAAGTATGCACTCGGACTGTTATGCACGCGCTGCACACATGCTTTGTGTGTCACGCGTTTTATTTGCGTGGTCTGTGTGCATAACGATGCTCAGAGCAGGCTGTACCGGTGGTAGCCTAAATATACGGCCCTCAGACAGAACAGGCTATCGATGAGTGACAGAGCAGCAAGGCTGGACTGGGACGCAATTTCAGGCCGGGAAATGTCACACTCATCCAGGCCACACAGAAAAAAAGGGGCCAAAATTTTACCTTTTGGGGTACAACAGTTTGACACCGTAGCAGTACACCGTACATATTTGTACCTTAAGAGTAGTAATTCGTACCCTTAAGGTAATAATTTGTAGGCCTACCTATTAGGGGTAAAATAGGGACAAATATGTCCTTTTAAGGGTACTGTTCCAGTGACAAGCAGTTGCACCCCAAAAAGTGCAATTTTGGCCCCTTATTTCTTGTATATAGCCTATACATCCACAACAATTTTTGAAACCAGACAACCCTATTATGCCAATCACTGCTATTTCGAGAGTGAATCCCGCATAAATATGCAGAAGTCATTCCCGAAACTTTGCAGGATGTAGCCTGTGTCCGAAAAACGAAAGTTTCATACAAATTCTGAATGGATTATACCCTAGAAAGTGTGCTCTCTTTATCACTAAGAAGCGTCACTCATCTTTGTTCATCGCGATCTTACAAAGTTCCGTTATAATCAATGAAGCTCTCTAAACTGCACAATGAATCTCTTATTTACATCACGTCTGCACTTAGTCATGAGATGATTCACAAAAACTGCGGCGCTTTCAGCAGTGAATGAATTCTGACAAAACGTTTCTGATTGGCCATTGCCTTCAAGAAATCGACAGATATGTCTTTGGTTATTGCTCAACGCTGCAAAAACACGTTGAGGGTATTTAGCAATTGGATAAGCGCTGCAGCGGGGCGACATCAGGGATTCCATGACGGACAATTTGGGGGGGCAATTGTCGCCCATGCACATACATATATTGTGCAAACAAAAACTTTTATTTTGGATGCGATTAATCGCGATTAATCGTTTGACAGCACTACTTTAAATATTAATCTAATGATCACTTTATTGAATCCTTGCTCGCTAAAAGTATTAATTTATTTAAAAAATGATAAAAAGTTCATTTTTAGATGATCTATCCCTTTAAGAGCACACATAACTGTACAAATTCGCTGAATTTACCATGGGTGTAGAGAGATCAAAGTATATCAAAGCAAACAGTAACATTACTGAGGCCAGTTATTTCAGCTGTGAGTGACGGACACTAGAGTAAATCTAAAGACAGATGAGAAGGGTATAACAAAAACTATTAACCCAAATCAGTACCGTTTTATGAGCGTGAATACGGTTGACCGAGTTCATACTGATTACATCCAAGAAATATTATTTACAGTCTGGTTCAGCTTTATGAAAACATTAGTCCAGTTTGATTGACAACACAAAGAAATGAGGCACTCGGCTTTGACGCCAGCACCGCCACACAGGATGTGATGCCTGCACGGCGTGAGTCACACCTGGTGTGGGACCCTGTGAACTTCTGTTGAAGGAAGGGAAATTTTTAGAGAAATATACCCTCCTAGGACGAGGAGGGTGGTCTACTGAAAAAGGAGATTACAAAGTTAGAGACACAGCTGAGACTTTTCCCCATTAGACAATAGGATCAAAGCCGTGACGACAGGAGATGACGACCGGCTTCAAACCAAAAGAATTGCCCCCAGACTTAACCGCATGCTCTTCTGGGAAGTGCAGTGATGCAGTATGTGTATATACTGTAAAACACCTTTGTTTTCTTCCATGACAACTCATAATGAGAGAATTCAGTAAGAGGAATTGCAGTGATTTAGGGCTTTGTTTAGCCCACAATTACCTGATCCCGAGAATAAGGCTGGCTTCCCGTCTGGTCATCTTCTGCTCAAATCCACCTTTGTAATATGCAGAAAATGACTAGAAAAGAAGAGAAAATGTTGAAAACATGATCCAAATTCAAAGTTAAGCTCTACCAACAGCATATTTGTGGCACACTGTTGATTACCAGGGGGAAAAAAGGAGCCTTTTTCAGTTTTAAACAGTTGGAATGGAAATACACACGGTCAGGCAGTAAACGTTAACATACATACTGCTCTCAAAGAGTCAAAAGGCTTCAACTCTACTGGCATGAAACTAGGATGATAGAATCACTTGTACCCAATCTTTCAATTTGGTTGTCATGATGCACACAATGAGACATGATGGAAGTATTATCTGTCCAGCACAGACATTACGTTGGCAATCTGTAATCAGGCGTTTATTCACCCAGAAAAGTGATCCCAGCTGAAAACAATTTTACCAACTCTGCAGCTCAAATTATAAACAGGGTTTAACTGAATAATTCCTCTAAGTGCTTTAATAAAAATATAAGCTTCACATTTCTAACATTTTTTGGTTTAACAGGGCTTCTGCAGGTTTTATGAAGGTGAATTTTTGAATGAAGACTTCAGACCTTTTTAAGACCAAGTAAAGAAAATTCAAGGAATAAATTGAAGGGAACACAATGCATCAGTATGTCCTCTGAATGTAAATGTCCATGTTATTTTTAAGCTTTTTTGATATTTCTACTGGAAAACGACAAAAATACTGAGGGCAAATTAAGACATTAAGTCCTACAGGAACGCCTTTTAAAAAGAAAAAAAGAGGCACAGGTCAAAATAAAATTTCTGTAGAAATCAACATGAGTATTGCGGAGTATTGTATTGAACCCATAACATTCCTTCAATCAGATGATGACTGATGTGCACAATAACATGTATAATCTCAATACTGATGGCAAACAGGTTGCTTTGGATCAGATCAAATCCTCAAGATCAGCACTTTCACCTCATTATGTGAAAATACAGACTTTAGGGATTTGAGATGATTGACCCCATAATTATCCAAATTCCCAATCTAAACATGCGTTCATGCTGGAAGCACCATAATTGCGAGATTGACTGACTTGTAAACAGTGTTCACGTCCTCGTTGAACTCGTAATTCCAACTTGTAAACTCTGAATTTTTATTAATATTTATTAACATTTGCATTATTTGCTATATTGCAGTTTTGTCTATTGATTACTCAAAATTACACCGTATTATTTAGCTATTAATAGTTTTGCCACAGAAACACACAATCCCGAGTCCGAGAACATGTACAGATCCGCGTACACACATCCCAGGTTGTAATCTAGTAATTACAACATGGTGTGAATGCACCATAAGTCAAAGGATCCAAAACTGGGATTTGAGAAGGTCATGAAGGACAAGTTTCACATAGTGTTTTTAGGAAATTTTGTTACAGTTCAGACCTCACAAGAGCCATGTTTACATTTCCATTTGCTTCAAAGATTTTCCACTTTGGGACTTTTCCATATTCAGTTCTACAAGTTCACACATTCAGTATTTTCAGCACATACAACACATGCTTATTACACGTCTTCTTAAAGGAGTAGTTCACTTCCAGAACAAAATTTAAAGGGTTCATATGATGCAATTTACATTTTTCCTTTCTCTTTGGAGTGTTACAAGCTCTTGGTTCATAAAGAAGATCTGTAAAGTTGTAAAGACTAAAGTCTCAAATCCATAGAGATATTCTTTATAAAAGTTAAGAGTCAGCCACGCCTACCTAAAACGGCTCGTTCTAACACGCCCCCACATGTCTACGTCACGATGTGGGAAGATTTGCATAACGCCACCCAAATGTTCACGCAAAGAAAGAAGGCATAACTTTTATTCGTTGTGAAAGTGAAACTACTTTGTTTGGTCTTCCAAAAGAGGACACGACTAGAAATCAGTGGTTAAGTTGTATTTACAACACTGTTCCAGAACACTTCAACCCAAATATTTAGATGTGTGCAGCACATTTTATGTAGGACTGTTTCCTGATCCTGGTAGAGTAGACTTCAATGCCGGCTGTTCTGACTCACAGACTAAGTAAGTTTTTATATTTAAAGAATTTGCCACTGACGATTCAAATGCGAGTTTTGGGCAGTGTGGAGTAGCGCTTGTTTTTTGTCATTTCTCCGATCACAAATGCAGACATGGTTTTATGTTTACGCAGCGCGATGCAACGCAACGCGTAAAAAGACAGTATAAGTCATTATAATCCGTAATTATGTCCCCACTGGATGCAACAAATGCCTCGTTTATAATGGGTTTTAATGTTTTTGTCTCGTCGCTCCGGCATCACAACATGGTAAGGGGCGTAACATTTCCGTCACACGCACTGGATAGCAGGCCAATCAGAAAAACCTTGCTTTTCAGACCGATGAGCTTTGTAAAAATCAACGCGTTTCAGAAAGGCGGGGCATAGAGGAGAAACAATAATGTACAGAATGTGGAAAATAATAATAATAGTTTTGAACCTTAAACCGCATAAACACATTTCATTACACCAAATACACAAAATAATGTTCTTTTTAGCAACGTCATATGCCCCCTTTAAAGATAATGTACTCACCCCCTTGTCATCCAAGATGTTCATGTCTTTCTTTCTTCAGTCGTAAAGAAATTATGTTTTTTGAGGAAAACATTTCAGGATTTCTCTCAATATAATGGACTTCTATGGTGCCCCCGAATTTGAACTTCCAAAAAAATGTAGCTTCAAAGGGCTCTAAACGATCCCAGCCGACGAAGAAGGGTCTTATCTAGCGAAACGATCGGTTATTTTCTAAAAAAAAAAACAATTTATATACTTTTTAACCTCAAACGCTCGTCTTGTCTAGCTCTGCATGAACTCTGTTTTTTCCGTTTCAAGACAGTTCCAGAAACTCCCAACTCATTTTCTCCTCCAACTTCAAAATCGCCC